GATACAGGGCTTTAGAATATCGATACAGTATCAGGAAATGAAATATTGCAATATTTCAGTGTATCGATATTTTCTTACACCCCTAGAAGAAACAGGAAGTGATGCCAAAGGGGAATGTCTGCATGTGAACAGAGCGATGCTACAATAATGAAAGAATCTGATAAACAACTGGAGTAAACTCTGTCAAACTGCACTGTTTGATAAAGTTCAGCATAAAAGTTTTGTTACATTTGGATTAATATCCAAATGCAGCGACAGACACAGTTATGCTAACCCGCTAACAGCAGGACTAGCTTCTGATTTATCGGATTAGCTTTTTTTTTTGCTGTTAGAAATCGTTAGCGGACCACTTAGCTTCCGCTAAATTAGGTTCGGCTAATTTTAAATCGAAGTGTAAAACTTTAGTTTTATGTCATTCATCTAGAATAAAAAAAAACTATCTCTTCTTTCAAAGCCGTTATACATGTCCACGTGTAGCATGTAGCATCTTCAGCAGCTAAACGTCAAACTAAGAGCATCAAAAAGAAATAAAATAACATTTAAATAACGAATACAAAAATTGGCTACAGTATGTATAAAATATGGCAGAGAAAGAATTTGACTAATAAACGGTGTTTATAAAAATACAAACCCGATCAAAAACATGCTTTTATTATGAAAGGGTGGAAGCATCACAAGTTAGATGGAGCTATAACTCTGGTTTGGATTGGCCGATTTCCCACAAATGATTCTGCCCACCTTGAAATTCAACAGGTTTACATGTCCTGCTAACTGTCTTAGTGATTAGCGGTTAGCGTTAGCTTCCTCTAATGTTTTATCTGTTCAGTGGTTTAGTGTTAGTGGAGCTAAGATTCTTCTTTTGTGGGACAATTTTCAGCTACAAAATTTAGCTCAAAATCTGTAAATTTGACGGAGCTGCAGCTATTTTTTTGTGTTTGCTAAAGTCAGTCAGCTGTGGCGGCCATCTTGACAGGTTTTATTATTCTATTAGGTTGAATGTGAATAAAACGCAGGTAGAGGAAGCAGCTGCTTCAGCTGAACGCCCACTCTCAGACTATGAGCGGAGTAAATATAGAGCAGAGACGCTGTGACACACTGACCTGCAGAGGAACTCACGCACTCCGCCTGCTCCTTCCTCTGGGGGCCGCGGTGCGTTCAGGAACACCATGCAGTATTCATGGCCTCTGTTACGGGATCTGGAGGCGGGGGTTTTGCTGCAGGCGGCTCAGCGGGCCTCTGATGCCGTTACACAACAAACACCAGAACGCAGCGCCGCTGTTTTATCTCTGTCATCTGTGATCGGCGGCAGAGGCGTCAAAACGTTTTCATATTAGAGGAATTTAAAAGTCGTCGCTGCGCAGTGGTGCGTTCGTCGTCTTTACGCCTCGCCGCCTGCTCTGAGGGATGGTTCTGTTCTTGTATCACCCCCAGAGGCTGTCTGAGTCTCAGACACACAC